TTAAATAAACCGCACCCCGGGGCTATTTAGCATGCATGGGATGCGGCTAGAGGGTGGTATAGAGGGTGGTATAGGGGTGGTATAGGGTGTGGTATAGGGTATGGTATGTGGTATGCGAGTGCGATGCTCTGGGCAACCGCAAGTTTACTGTAGCATAACTAAAAAGCAAGCGAGGGAATCGCAGGGACGAGGTATTGGAGTGGATAATCGGTGGGGAAAGAGAAGGTCAACCGCAGGAGTTCAAGCTGCAAATAAATGGAGCGACCACAGAATGGCCATCCAGGCAGCAATTAAAAATGCCTCCTGGGGGCAAACAAGCCAGCAGCTAATGCCCTGCCTCATTGAGCCATTAATTTCCAGGCGGGCCAAGGTAAATGTAAAGGTAAGATGTGTGCCGTCGATTTCAGGGGGCGGTGGGCGGCGGGTTGGCCGGCAACCTTTGCAATTTGTCCACATCGATTAGTGTCCGGGTAACGTCGTCTCGGACTGACAGCATGACAGCCATGTCCACGTCTATTATTTTCAACTTAACATGGCCCGCGCCTCTGACAATTGGCCAGGACATTTACCTTGCCCCTCCGACGGCCAAAGGGCGCCACAATGCGACTTGCTCACCGCAAAACTGCACAATGGCCGACCTACAACTCACTTCCTTCCGCCGCACGGCGACCACGCCCCACTTTCTCGCCCCCTGTCAAGGGCGGTGTCCCAGCGGCCCCTTCCTCGCCATATCTTTAATGTTTTTCCCCCTTTTTTTTCTCTGGCCCGACCTTTTTTTATGTCTTCGGAACGTGTGTCCAGCGGAAATGACAACGACAGTGGCAATTACATTGTTGCATGACACAAATAGTGTTGCCTACAACAAGGAGGACAACAATTGTTAAGATATGGGGGCAAGCCAAAGGATAGCTATGGATAATAGAATAGGGATGGAAACGACCCGGGGATACCTTAACATAGAAAAACATGTGTAGAATTATTGGGGCATTTTTTTAAATAGTTGAAGAGCTCATATCTCAAATGGGGCTGTGTTAAGACTTAACTTTAAACCGCTTTAATATAAAGGATTTAAGAAAATGTATCCACAATTATCAACGTGCATGATAAACCGATTAAAAATGGATATTATTTTTAAATAAACAGCAAAAAAAAAGGGGGTTTATTTTTTTTCTTTCCAACTATCACTAAGAACTTAAAGTGCAAAAAAAAACATTTTGCCTTCCTCATCACTAAAAATTTAAACTCACTCGAACAAAAGGATACTTAAATTGTATTTCGCAATTAAGTACGTCAGATTAAATAAATTATGTATGTAGATTGTACATATATGCTGTCTTTTGCCTACAGAGGAATAAAGAGGCAGCTATACAAATATAAAATTCTCATGTGGCAGACACTGCGTGTTTGGCTCTGGGTGGCAGAAAAGGTATAAATTTAATTGATGTCAGGCCGTTAAAAATGTGTCATTTTTACTCGCTTTAAATGCGTGGCTGCCCGCGTGACGTTTGTTCAATTGTTATCAATTGTCCTTTCGAAAGTCCTCGGTCCGTGCCATATGCCGAGTTCAGTCCAGTGTCCAGCGATATGTCCTGGGTCCTTCGTCCTGTGTGTGCATGTTTATAGTATGTCCTCCGGCCGAAACCATTCGCCAGTTACCACTGGCAATTCTCCATTTCCCTTTGCTGTTGTTGCCATGGCCGAGTGCCAAACTAATTGCTACAAATTAGCGCCTTTATGCTCGGGCCAACTGCTCGTGGATCTGGCGAAGACTGGCTGAGCATTTCCTGACCCTTTGTCCTGGCCCGGCAGGTCCTTGCCCCACTTCCGACTGCCCCATCCTCCCTTCAATGTGCGTGTGCAACTCAATTATGCCACAATACACATTAATACGACTGCTAAATTTGGCTCAATTGTTGACAATTTGGTGGAGCATTCCGAAGTCAGTAAAACTCTCATTTGTGTCAATATAACGAAAATCCCTCAAAAGTTGTATTTTATTTTACAAAGATATAGCTTTAATACAGAAAAATATATACGTAATCTTAAAATAAAATAATAATAAACTTGTCATTCCATTAACTATAACTTTTGGAATTTTTTGAATTTTTTCTTGCATATTGAAAAATACAAATTAAATTATTTTATTAAAGCCAACGGTATACACTGAAGTTTAAAATTTTAAATTAAGCCATTTATTTCCCTTGATCCAAATAAATCAAAACTTTTGCCAATAAAGCGCCCAAAAACAGAATCAAAGTCTGGTGAGCAAGATGAAAGTTCCAAGTTGCCAGACAATTTGGGCCACTTAACACCTCGCTGATTGCCAGCCGAAGCGCAACAAATCGTTTATTTGGAATTATTTTAATTTTAGCATTTTGCCAGCTGCTTTTTAAATTTTTTTGCGATTTTTTTGAATTTTTCACTTGTTTTTCCTGGGTTTTCCTAAGCTTTTGTTGCTGTCGAAGGAAGGCAACATGGACAAACGACAATTTGTGTCGCTCGGTTGTCAGGACAACAACAACGAGAACAACAACAATAACAGCAACCGACGAGCGTAATAATAAATGAGAAGTGGAAAAGTTTTGCCGCCGCCGTGCTTATTGTCAAGCTCGGCCAGGCCATAAAAAACAAACTTCAATGGCAATAAGGCGACAAAAAGAGAGCTCTAGGAAAAAAGGAGAAATCCTGAAAAAAGCAGCCGGACCAAAAGAACAAGGGACAAAACAAAAACAGCCAGAGGAAAAGTTCAAGGCACTGACTTTATAGCTGCAATAATGCCCGTAGACCAACTGCTGGATGGGCGGGGGGTCCAAAAAAGGTGAGCCACATGCCAGCAACAGCGAGCTGGAAAACAAAGCCAGTTGCAGCCAGCAGGGGGGTGGTTTCCAGGGGGTGGAGCAGGTGGGGCAGGTGGGGCAGGTGGCAGGAAGCAACAAGGCCACGCCGTATCCCGCCGAATGTGTTGAGGCACTTTGGCGAGGTAACGAAATGTAACAAAGTGCCGGGGCGTGGCGGTTGCCTGCTGAAAAGTGCGGTGATGTGGGCTGCGGGGTAAGGGGTACTAGGTCAGGTTTGTTATGTGGCTTACACCGGAAATGTGTGTTTAGAAGGCCGCCGGCGCCATTCTTGTTGCTCTTTTTCGTTGTGGCCCTAACGAGGGGAAGGATAAGACCCTAATATGGTCAACTAAATTTAACTTTTTAACAAGATACGGAAGATTTGGCTCAAGTGGCTGATGGGCAGTCGAAGATTATAGTCAAAATATGATTAGCACAATTTTAGGTGGGAAATATGACGAACGTGTCAAATCTTTATTGTGACGTCACGTCAGAAAACTCAAATTTCTCTGGTCGATGTTGCTTGTCGTGCTGACATTTTCTATACTGAAATATTAATTAAATTGAGATGATTACGACTAAAGCGATGGGGTTTAATATTAATTTATAATGTGGAGAACCCAGTCAGGTAAAAATATAGATTTATTATAATAATTATTAAGATCTTTGACAAATATATTTGATGCTTTGCCTATTTTCTTTTTGCCCGTAACAGTAGCTTTCATGAATGTACAGGTGAATTATTTTTTGGAAGCTATTTTTAATTGTTTTACTTTTATTGCTTCTTTGTTGTTGTTTTATTTTGAACTAATTTCTGAAATACATTAAAACTGCTTCAAAATATGTTGACCCAAATCTTATTTTGAAATGTCTGGAATTTAGTTTATACTTTTTTTATTTTAATTATAGATTGCAAAATATAAGATCAGTGATTGGTTCAATTTGAACTGAATAACCAGAGCAAAAAGCAACAGCGCTTTAAACACTTTTGATCGATGACTTTTGAAAGTTAATGTGCGTCGTTTTCATATCAATAATGTGGGCAATCAGCAATTGAATATTTATCTATGCCCAAGCTGCGTATTAATGACCGGGCCAATGACAAAAGGACAATGCCGACGGTCGGCACGAAAAAGTCAAAAGCACCGCATTCCCACAGGACATTTGGACAAGCAGTTGGATAAACACACAAAACACGAAAACCGAAACACTTTGACTCTGAGTGACGGAATGACAGGCTGATGGGCAGGCCCCGGGCACATTAATAAAGTCAATAGAGAGACAATAGTTGAAAATTAACAAATGAATTGAAATTACTTAAACAAACTCATTAGGCTGCGGAATGTCACCGAGCGCTGAGCCTCCGTTGACACCATTGGAACTGAACGAACCCATCCCCTGGGATCCTCATCCTCGGACAGGCATTAATATTCCGTCGTCGGTGGGCGATGTTTTTATCCCCGCCCCAGGTAAGCATTGGCCATCGAGTACCGGCGAGTTTTTACCCATTTTCCCCTATTTCGCCATCGCATGTAATTAAATTTTCCAACCTTAATGTGCTAAGCATAGTAATTTACTTTCGCCACCCCTTCTGCTGGCCCACCTGCCAGTCACGAGTTTAAATTGTCAGAAACTGTGACAGCCCGACACCTTTTGCCCAGGTGTGGAGGAGACAGGAGACTGGCGAGGCGACAAGCCGCATATCTATAATTTTCATTAATTTTAATTGGCTTTGGGTGTGGGTGTGGTTGTAGGTGGATGTCGCTCAATTACAATGTATTCAACTTTTTATTGAATTTTAAACGGGTTTGGTTCTTCCTGATTGCCAAAGAAAATCAACATAAATATAACATTTATTCTTTGATCAAGAAAATGTAGCTATTTTTAGTCACGATTATTTGAAAGCTAGGGGAAACTTGATTGAGGTTTTTAAATAGGGAAAACATAAATTTCTATCAAAATAAAATATATATATTTTTTAATTTAATTGAATTTAAAATGAAAATCATTTTGTAAATCTCTTCGGAAATTATATAATATTTTTTATTTAATTTGGTTTTTCCTAAAAGAGATGGTAAAATTTCCCTTTAAAAACGATGTAAAACCTGGCTAACAAAGTAGGTTTGCTTGGTCTGCCGTTGGAGAATGCCACACGCAATTAAATAAAAGTTTTGTTTTTGATACTTTGGTTATTTTTAGAAAATTTGGGTAGCCTTTGGACGAAGGCGCGACCCGTTTAAATTCCAAATTGTGTAGTGTTGCCTGGAACTGAAGGAGCCGCAAAGATGATGTCCAAGTTGTGTGCCATTCTGGCGCCAAGGGCAGTTGTTCCCAGGGCCAAACGCCATCTGCTGAACCAGGCCATTTCGATGGCCAGGGTAAAAGTTCGGGGAAACCACTGCTGCGGTGGAATGAAGGTGGTGCCCTCGCGCGAGGAGCACTTGAATGCCCTGAAGGCCGAGGAGTTCGACGTACTGATCATCGGCGGCGGAGCTGTGGGCTGCGGCTGCGCAGTGGACGCCGCCTGTCGGGGTCTCAAGACCGCCCTGATTGAGGCGGATGACTTTGCCAGTGGCGCCAGTTCGCGATCGAGTAAACTGATCGATGGCAGCGGATCCTATCTGGGCACCGCCCTGCGGGAAAAGGACATCGAGCAGCTGTACATCATGCTGCAGATGATGAGCGAGCGAGTGACGATGCTGAGGAACGCGCCGCACCTGAATCGCATCCAGCCGATGATCATACCCATCTACAGCGTGCTGCAAATGCCCTGCACCTGGCTGGGATTGAAGGTAGGTCTGGGATCTCGGCTACTTAAAACAGGGTTCGGAAAATAACACACACTGTAAAAAACGTGTGTTATTAACATGTTAAATTTTAAAGTGTCAAGTTCAAAAAAAGTAAGAAATTGTATCCTACATATGTTAGAAACATAAATAACACACACATGTCATTTGTGTTTTTTACACAGCGTGCTTTTAACACAATGAGTTTTTGACATTAAAGTGTCAAAATTGTATGTTGAACTGAAAAATGCACGATTTTCTAGAGTATAATAATTCATATATTTGCTTTAAAGTGGTTGACACTAACATATAATATAAATTGGTTGTTCATTTTCCCTTCGACTTGTTAATGTCACTAAAATGTAATTTTAATTTGTGTTAAAAACACAGTGTGTAAAAAACACGTCATGTTAATAACACATTGTGTAAAAAATACAAAAGAGCTGAGTGTGTTAACAATTATTTTTCACATTTAAACATTTTTCTATTTGACACTCTCTAAAATACAATTTTTCATGTTCTTAACATGTGTGTCAATTTCCGAACCCTGACTTAAAACCCTTTCCCAGGTCTATGATTTCATGTCTGCCGCTTCGAATGTGCGCGGATCGCACTTTCTCTCCCGGGAGGCCACCCTCTACGAGTTTCCGCTCCTCAAGACGAAGGGTCTTCGCGGCGGAGTCGTTTACTATGATGGCCAGGTGGACGACGCCCGGATGTGCATTGCCCTCGTGATGACGGCCGTCGCGTTGGGCGCCAATGTGGGCAACCACCTGGAGGCGGTGGAGCTGATGCCCCTGGAGGGCTGCTGCCGGGTGGTGGGCGTCAAGGACAAGTTGTCCGGCGAGCAGTTCTACGTCCAGGCGAAGGCAGTGATCAATGCCACAGGAGCCAACACGGATAATATAAGGCGGATGGACAAGGAGGGCACCGCTCCCATCCTCCTGCCCTCGCTGGGCACCCAGGTCTCGCTGCCCCGGTACTTTGGCTCCGGACACTACGGCCTCCTGAGTCCGGCGCACAAAAAAGATGATCTCACCATATACATGCTGCCCTTTGAGAACCACACGGTTCTGGGCATCCGCGAGGTGGAACTGGACGAGGTGTACGGGCGGGGGCATCCCACTCCCGATCCGGATGATGTGGACTGCCTGCTGGAGGCGGCCAAGGCCAAGATGGATCCCTGTGTGGAGCTGGGTCGCTGTCACGTGCTCAGTGCCTGGACGGGCATCAAGGCCAATGTGAGTTGTCCCACCGGGAAGTCGGAGGAGGAGGAGGAGAAGCGCGGCTCCGCCATCAGCAGCTACATGATCGAGGTCAGCGAGGAAGGCCTGATCACCTTGGCCGGCGGCCGTTGGAGCAGCTATCGTGTGATGGCCGCCGATGCCGTCGACATGGCCATCAAGTCATGCGGCCTGTGCGACGACCATGTGACCTCCAGTTGGACGGAGGACTTGAAGCTGGACGGCGCCGAATCCTGGTGCTGCATGCTGCCGCTGGAGTTTGTGCAGGACTACGATGTGCCCATGGATGTGGCACAGCACATATCCGATTCCTATGGGTATAATGGTCATGCTTTATTCTCCGGTGCTCCTCCCGAGCTGAGGAAGCGCCTCCACCCCAACTTCCCGTACATCGAGGCCGAGGTTCAGTATGCGATGCGCAGCGAGTACGCCTGCACTCTGGTGGACATAGTCGCTCGGCGTCTGCGCATCGCCTTCGTGGATGCGGCCGCAACGCTGCACATGCTGCCCAAGATCCTCAAGATGATGGCCGAGGAGAAGGGTTGGGAGGAGGGGCAGCAGAAGAAGCAGATGCAGGCGGCCCAGGAGTTCCTGGTGCGCCAGATGGGTCTTGGTACCATAGTTCGTCCCAAGAGCACAGGGAAGAGTCCGCCGAAGAAGAAGGCCTCCTCGGAGGGTTGCTGCTGCCGGGCGGCTGCTCGCAAGGAGGCCAGGAGCTACTCCAAGGGTCACCACCACCCACGGGTGGATAGCTTCAAGCCATTGACCACCCAGAGATCGAGGAAAAATGTGTCTAGCGATCGACTATTCTGGCCTTTGACCTCGGGCATAACCCACCAATCGGTGGTGGACTGTGAAGCTCGCCGGGATCAATCGAGGTCCATTCCCACCGGATGGTCAGATAGCAAGAGGCAACTCATCATCAACAGTTGGCGCAACAAGTTCATGTGCTGAAATACTTTCAGATAATGTTTTAGTTTGACTTTAGCCTCGTTTGCTTTTCTAACACTTCAGGCTGAACACAATTCGTTATGTGCGGGTCTTTCCAATGCCAAAAAAATAAATATACGAGCACTCAAAAGCGATATTTGCACTTGTTAAAACAATGAAAGATTGTTTTACCCATTTGATTGAAGTCCCAAGACCCGACGAACTGTCCTTTGGCAGTCATATTTATTTTTTTTCTTTTAAAGTAATTTAAAAATAATATTTAAATAAATATTGGTATTAAACGCTTCTTCCGCCCGGAGAATAAAATTTGAGTGTAAAATAATTGTAAATGTGGCTTTATTTAAATGCAATAATTTCGCGTCGCACGTAAGGTCCCGTAAAGGCTTCCATTCCGGTGTCGCCATCGCCGAAGAGAACGCACTTAAATGTGGGAATATCGAGTAAAGGGTTTGAAGCTCTCCAAGGTAAGTATGCATTTGAACTGGAACTGCATCGAGTGAGCATTAAACTATAGGTATTTACTTTTGCCAGACTACTTTATTGGTATTTCCTCCCTTAAGGCAGGACGGTGGGCAGTACCTGCTCCGCTCGGCACAAATGGGCGGACTGCCGCTTCCTGATGGGGCTAGAAGTCTAGCCCCACCAGGAAGCGGTAGTCGGCCCACTCTTCCGAGCGGAGCAGGTTCTGATATACCCGAAACGGGTCTCATCGAGATAAAGCGTTTGAATCTCTCAAAGAAGGTGAGTATTCATTTGAACTGGAACTGCATCGAGTGAGCATTAAACTTCGGCTTGTCAAGGCTAGCTTCCTTTCTCAAAGATTTTTGAAATTATATTTTCTCAGCTCTGCTTTCCGCTTTTTGGCCTATCTATAAATCCAAATGCCTTCTAGTCCCCGATGTCGACCGGAGACTTTTTTCGCCACTAGTGAGGAGCTGGACATACCCTTCAACCTGGTCATAACCTTCAAGCTGGACAAAAGTTCTCCCAATCCTCGGGTCTTCGTTCATGCCATTCATGCTCTTCTGATCTCGGATCTTCTAGACTGCATTGTGACCTAGTCCTGGTCACTCTCCAGCAGGGAAGATGCGATCAATTGCTTGGGGCGAGAGAAGCAGCTCCTGATTGTCCTGCTTCAGGCAGCTGATCCCATCTCTCCCGCTAGACGACAACAGGGAGGAGCTTAATTTCCAAGTGGTTCCAGACTATTGTATTTGTCTATTTCCTCCGTTTCCTGAACATCTTGCTTCAAAAAGGGTATACACTGGAGTAATATTGGTGCAGCTCATTAAGCAGCTCCCGTCGAAAATCTTCGTCAACACTGTACATTTTTGAGTGTGTACTTTTCCACGGCATACTTTTGTGTGTTGTCTGTGTAACACTCACAATAGATGCGGTGTTTTAACACCGCAACTGCATAGTAGGCGGTGTTAGTAGCACCGGCACCGTTTTTTAGGCGAGTACATTAGTAGTGTCAAAATCAGGCACCGGTGCCGTTCTCTGATAGACTTCATGGACGCCCAGCACGCAGACACTAGTCTGTGAGCCTTCAACCCGGACAAGAGTTCTCCCAATCCTCGGGCCTTCGTTCATGCCAATCATGCTCTTCTGATCTCTGATCTTCTAGACTGCATTGTGACCTAGTCCTGTTCACTGTCCAGCAGGGAAGATGCGATCAATTGCTTGGGGCGAGAGAAGCAGCTCCTGATTGTCCTGCTTCAGGCAGTTGATCCCATCTCTCCCGCTAGACGATGGCAGGGAGGAAATGAACTTCGCTGGTGCACTCCACGGAAATCCATATAGCTCCAGTTGTCATATTCGTGTTTTCACGGGGATATATTCTTTCCAGCATCGAGTCGTCTACCTTCCATTCCAAGATGGACTCCTCCATTGTCATAGCCAAGTGTATAGTATAGCTCCAGTTATCCAATTTTCTTGTTGTCACGGGGATATATTCATTCCTCCTAGTTCCAGCCTCAGTTATAAAGTATGCATCGAGTCGTCTACCTTCCATTCCTAGATAGACTCCTTTGATCTGGTCACGTTGACAGAATAGTATGCCATTCGTGCTCTTCTGATCCCCCATCTTCTAGGTTAATTTGTAGATATCATTGACTCCTGGGATCTGGTTAGTAAGCTTTTCGGTTCATGCCATTCGTGCCCTTCTGGTCCATGATCTAACTAGTCCACATCACTATCCAGCAGAGAAAATGCGATCAAATGCTTGGGGCGAGAAGAGCAGCTCCTGATCCTCCTGCTTCAGGCAGTTGACCCCATCACTCCGCTAGACAGTGATAGGGGCTGCTGAACTTTGCCGGTGTCTTCCGTCCACAGGTCGATCCCTTTAGCTATTGAAAATATATTTTAATACGGTTTCACTCGGATATTTAATAATTTATATTATTGCCTAGTTTTCTTTTTCCTAGCGACACAGGAAATCTTAAATTGAATTAAAAGTATTGCTGCCAGAAAGAATTGTAGAATACTATTGCCTTTTTTAATCTCAAGTCTTTTACATTATATTTAAAATACCTATATTTATAATTGGTTATATCGTTTTGTAATAAAAATAAAAAGGAGGAATACAAATTGAAAAACTAGGCAGTTGATAAATATAAATATTATTTGTGCTCGATAGCTTGCGTCTCTGGTAAATCCTAAAGTGAACTGAAAGTACTGCTGCTCTAAGATTATGACAATACTGTTTTGACAGTCTTGGACTACTAGATTCAATTTTTATACTGCATTTATATTTTTTTATTTACCTATATCAATAATAAACGACAGCAATTTTAAAGAAAACTAGGTGCTAATCATTTTAATAAATATTTTTTGTGGTCGGTAGCTTGTGTCTCTGGTAAATCCTAGAGTGAACTGAAAGTATCGATGCCATAAGATTACGACAATAATATTTTGACAGTCATGGACTACTAGATTGCACAATGTTTCTATGTGTAGGTTTAAATGTTACTTTAATTACCTATTTTAACACTTTTCAATACCGGTTTGTTAAATTTAATGTGGCACAACAATTTTGGTGAATTCTTAGTAGTTGAGAATTTTAATAAATATTTTTTATGCTCGGATAGCTTGTGTCGCTTGGAAATCCTGGAGTGAACTGAATCTATTGCTCCTCAAAAGTTAAGACCAAAATTTTTTGACAAGCATAGCCTACTCGATTTCCTGTTTTTTCAAAAAGTTGTCCCATGCACAGTGGGCAATACCCAAAAGCGGAGTCCTCAAAAAGTAGATATATATTAATTAATTATTTTAGCTTCGTAACGGCTCTTTATATTATTTTAAAATTACCCAAATATGTTTACAAACTGTTATATTTTACTCCTCCCATTTAAGGCTTCCGTCACTTCTCAAGAAAAATAAAACAATACCATTTCAATATTTCTTTGGCAACATTCGGCAGTTGTTATGGATTTTCTTGTTCTTCGATTCCTTTCTAACGTTACTTTGGAAATTTGAGACTGCTGTTGCTGTCGTTTGTTTTTATAAATTAGCCTGTTTTGCTGGAGGGAGGAAAATTCGGAGGCGTGGTGATTTTGAATTATTGTTATTGGGGCTGAAAAGCATTTCTTGTTGTTTGAATATGCTTATCGTTCATATATTGCTTTATTTATTGGCTGATTGGAGGCCAAAAGTGTGTGTGTGTGTGCATTTGGGCGGCATTATATAAGCACCACATTTTTCCCGTCGCTGCTCGTTAGCCACGTAAATGAGCTTTTTATGGCCACATTTTTAAAGTGCGTGGAAATTAAATTGAAATTAAAGGAAAATATACTTTTGAAGACTGATTTTTTATAAATGCAAAATGGCATCATTATATTTTTTTAAATATATGATGTTCTTTTGTGCAGACTGAGGTTCTGTTCATTAAACTTCTCTGGTTTTTCGATGGTTATTGCCTCTCTAGAGTCCAAATGTCTGCAATTTATGTTGGCATATGTTTTGCACGTCGTTTTTGCACTTCATTTGAGTGCAGTTAGGGGAACACTTTCGTGTCCCGCGAGAAATTTCTCAGAGCCTTAGAAAAAAACAATTATACCGGTCAGAAGTCAGAACACTTTCACTTTTCGCCACACTTTCCAGCAAAAACCATTCTGCGGTCTTTTGGACCGCATTTTCATGCTGATTAGTTGAGTTAACAATTTCCAGCACGCGAAACTATTTCGGGAATTTCAAACTTGAAACATAAATTGCAAAGCCCATTCGGTCGGTCCGCCGAGGTGGCCAGCGCCTGTTCCACTCCATTTCCCCTCCCAGCCAAATCCACTGCGGCGTCGAACAATTTTAATAAGTTTGGGCCAGCAGTCTGAGGAAGTAGGTAATGGGAAAAAATGCAGGCGATGCACATGCGAGCTCATAATAATAAGAATTCTTGCCAACGATGCGGAGAAGCAGCCCTTCGTCCTATGTATATACAGCTAGTATAGTCAAGGACATTTAGCGAACTTCACAGCGAAAAAAACCCAGAATTAAACAAGAAATAACGCCTTAAATAGCGATGAAATAACCAAAAATAAGGAGCATAAAAAACCTATGACGGAAGCAGTGCCATAAAATGCTGAAAATAATGCGAGGCGACAAACGGAAATAACAGGAAAATAGTGTGTCATAAAATATGCTTTAGTACTTCGGGAGCGAAAATCACCGGGGAACAGAAGACAGAGAAAAAAGTAGGGAAAGAGATCTGCAAAAAAGATTTAATGTCTGTGGAAAAAAGCCCTGGAAAATGCAAAAGTTGTGTCATAGTGATAATAAAACACATAACAGCGTTAAAATAAAGTTAGGTGGTATTTCTGCATTGATTTAATACATAAGTATATTTTATATTATTTTATTAAGGATTAGCTATTCTCTTTTTTCAAGAATGCAGGCCATTAATATATTATTTTTATGTAAGCTTTGGCAGACTATTCAATTATTTTGTAAAGCTTTGAAGGACAAACATGCACTCAAGCAATTCGCATCTTCCCAAATAAAATGGCACTTTTTCATATTTTTCCAACATTGGGAAAATAGTAATTCCTGGCCAAACCATGCATAAAATCATAATATATCTTCGCAGACACGCAAACGTAGTTATCTTGGCCCCAGATGTAGTGGAAATCGGTGAGA